TTTATTTTCCGTGCATGCAGCGCGTGACGAATATTAAGAGGAAAGCTAAGCCGGAAAATTAAAACTACAAGAGCACGGGCTTTTAACTATTGATAAATAAATATCTCTTTTAATTTATATTTAATTCGAAATAAATGTTAATTGACTAGACGTAACCGAATTCTACTATTTTAGCTTTCGAAAAATTGCTAGAACAATCTCGTGCGGCCGATTTAAAAAGCTATAAAAGCCAGAGAGAGAACATCTCAGCTCAGTTTTGTTTTATGAATTTTGTTTAGAAAACTGTTGTTGCTTACTGTAAAGAATTTGCTGCCGTGAAATCGGATTATATTTCTCTATTTTGAATTAGTTCTGTTGAAATTTTTGGTAGTTTAAAATATAACTACTGCGAGATATTGCAATATTGTAAAATATATGAGGAAATTTAAGCATTTTGTTTTTTTATTTGTTGTGATAAATATAAATTTTTTTAACTTTTCATCGGACTTGTGCATTCAATTTATTACGAACTCGTACGCACGCAACACTATTCTTTTTGTCCCATTCAATATGAAACAAACATCCTGTAGAATTGCTTATAATGATTTCTGGTTTGCGTGTTTCAAAATTAATCCGTTTCATGCTTGCTTATGTTATCCTGCGTTGCGACAGTCCTAATCCAATCAAATTAAGGGACTTTTAACTAATTTAATTACGCACTTACTTTCTTTCCCTATTTTCACTTTGCAAATTTGCTCTTGTTAGGACGCCTCGCTTGCCTCTGCTGTCTATTGTTTATTGCCTGAAAATGTTGAGGGATGCATATCGTCTTCATAAACGTAGCTATCGATTTTTGATCACATCTCTCGGTCTCCCTGTAGATCAATCTCCCGGTTTATAATTTTTATACTTTACAAAGGAAAATATTTTACACCAGTAAATGAATTTTATTGAATGTAGGAAACTTATATTGTGCAAATTTTATTCCTACACAACTGGTTATTTTCAGAATAATTTTTATTTTTAAATTTCATTTCATCTGAACTGTATTCTTTTCTAATTACATATTATTTTCCTTTATCTTATTAAATTTCGTTTTACAGGAATTGTCTTAATCTACTGCAGAAATTTGTAGATTTTTATATCGAGATTCAACCATTAATTGGTTAATATTTGTATTTATATAATTTCATTATATACTACATTACTAAGTTTATCCGGATAAATATTATGTGCAACATTAATTATTAATTTTATGTTCATTGTATTTTAAAATATTTCGATAAATAAAAGCTTTTCTTTCCTATTTGGGATTTTCTCAGTGTAAAAATGTAAGAAAATTACAAATTAAAGTTAGCCAAAGAGCCTAAATTAGAATATATAATTAAATATTAACATATTTTGCCTAAGAATTGTGTTATAAATAGTTTAACTATTTGAATCATGCACTGTAGAATGAACTTCAATCAGTCATGAATTCTTTTTAAATGGCATCGCCGCACAGCGTGAAAATCTTCTGGATACTCCCGGTTTTGTTGCAAAAATCTCTCGGCTTTTCATATTTCAAGATTGGAAGCTATGCATAAGAATATGTATCGAAAGAATTAATCTTCCCGGCATAATTATGGTGATGTATCTTCGGCCACGTCTTCTAGTTTTTCTTCTCCGTTACACATCATTCAAACGACGTAGTAGTCTATTACAGCTATTCCCAGATCATCATTACATATAATATATATATGTATATATAATCTTTAACAAAGTATCAAAATTACATAAAATAGAATCTTGTTATCTAAAGTTAGGCAAAAAAGCGATTTAAGGGTGGCGTAGATTTGAATAAATTTTATATATACAATCTATCAAAACTACTAGGATTTTATACAAAATTTTAAGTTTTACATTTAAAGTATTTTCCATCCATTTCAGAATGACAACAGTAATAATAAATAAATTGTGCTCAATAAATAAATGGTGAAATTCAAGATAAACTGACACGGCTCGTTCTTCAAAAAATAAAAATATTCTGTTCCATTTGTCATAGTTATGCGATTTAATGAGACAAAACAAATAAATAATGATAAAGAGACAATTATACCCCTTTCATTAAAACCAGATAAGAATAAAAGGATTAAAAATTATAAAACAGAGACTTTAAAACAATTCGAGAAATAGGATTGGAATTAAAATCATTAATTTTAATTCGGGAAAAATACTTATTTTCGTTACAAAACAGACGACTATTTTAGAAAAAGAGAGTTTAATGATTTCGTAAAAATATAAATTTGTTATCAACGTAATTGCAGAAATTTGATATTAATTTTATTGTGAATTTCAGTATTTATTATTTTATGCCAACATATTAATTAATTTTAGGAAATCTGCGCTAAAGATGTTTTTAAACTCAAATCTGAAACTTAAATGTTTGACTTGGAATTCTGGCCTAATCTATAGTTAATATACTAACTGCAATACTTTAAACCAAATGGAAGTTTAAAATGTTAAATATACTTACAATAGTTCCACCTTATGTAAGCGGTTGTTACTTAGATACAACGAGTTATCTTCATACATAAACTGCAGCAGAGAAGAATTTCGATGAGAACTGTTCAATTCCTTGTAATGATACGGGAGAGACAGTTAGCATTATCCTCTGAAGACAGTTCGTTATATTTTTACTATCACAGTCAGTCTAAAGCAGGGATGGGCAAACTACGGCCCGCCGGAAGGTTATATCCGGCCCGCGGATGAAATTTTAATTTTCCGGTCTGAGGCAAATTAAAATAAATATATATTTATATATTATATACCCAACTCCTTTTCTAAATTGTTTAAATATCATTTTTTTTTCTTCCTTTTTTTCAAAGGACTGATAATCTTTTTACTTTCTCTATTTTTGTTCTTCAAAACTTAAATCGACAGAAATAGCAAGCACAGACAGCTTTCAATCGGTAAAGTGAATTTTTCGTGAATTTCAGGATGGGTTTTTAACTTCGAAAGTGCCTATAACAAATATATGTAATATTACGGCCGATGGAGAACCAAATATGACAGGAAAAAATCTGGATTTCTTGGATTCTTTAATCAAAACTATCCCGGGAACAAAGTTGTTTTTTACGTTCTGTCAAGATGCTCTGTATAAATCTGCATTGAATATGAAATCCGAGCTTGCTGCAATCGTAAAGCTTGTGAATATTACTATTCGATCTCGTGGGCTTACTCACAGGCAATTTCGAGATTTTCTTCAGTCCATGCAATCTGAATACTCTGGTGTACGCGAAAGTAAGGTGGCTTAGTGCAGGATGTGTTCTTGAGCGAGTTTGACAGCTGAAAGACGACATTGTATTGTTCTTCCATGTGAAACAGTGTTCTGCGGACTGCAAAATGTTAGAAGATATAGAATGGGTTTCGGGCTTTGCATTTTTCACAGATCTTCTTTGTCATATGAGCAACTTGGAATGTTAAGATTCAAGGAAAAAATAAATTTATCGACGATATCTGGGCCATTTCAAAGCTTTTAAACTAAAACTTAAACTGTTTGGTGGGCACCTAGTTAAGAACAACTTGTCGCATTTCCGGAGGTTAAGTTCAATATCCTCAGTAAATGAAGAGAAGCTTAAGAATTATGAAGATGGCTTAAAAAAAAATGCATTTTGAGTTCGAACGCAGATTTCAGTGCCATTCAAACAGAATCGGATATTTTTAACATGCCTTTCAACGTAAATTGTGAAGCAGTGAGGTCAGCTTTTCAGCTTGAATTAATTGAGTTGCAATCTAACAGTCATCTCAATAAGCAGTTGTTTCTAAATATGCCAAAGTTAGAGTTTTACAAATCATTAGCAAAAATAAGTTTCACAATTTTAATATCTCACGCTCAGAAAATCAGTGCTATGTTTGTTTCATCCTATATATGTGAACAAGTATTTTCATAAATCTTAAAAAGAATTATTTCAGGAGTAAACTGATAGATGAGCATTTAGCCTCAATATCAGGAACTTTTAAAAATGAAATCGCAATTTCATTCATCTCTTCGACCTCAATATAAGGAACTTTTAAAATGAAATTGCAATTTCAATCATTTCATTAACATATTTAAATTATAATAGTTGTCTATTGTTTATAAAATTTTGAAAAATTGATCTTGGCTCGCATTTTTTTTTTTTTTTTTTTTTAATGTTTCTTTTTTGGCCTGCGATTGAAAACGTTTGCCCATCCCTGGTCTAAAGTCAGTCTTTCACGATCACATTTACCACTTTGATGAGGTTTCTTTTTATCTTAAGATGACTTTGGCGTGAGTTTGCCGTAAAAATGTGAAGTACTTCTTTGGCAGGAATACTTCTGTCAACTTCGATTCTCCAGTTTCCTAGCTTATACTCAGATTCGGCATTGATGTTGCTTTTAACGCATAATTATGCCCTTATAACGGCACTCACATACTAATTCCTTACATTTAATTATATTCTTATCATAATTGTTTTATAATGCGTAAAAAGTGTTAGTCTTAACGAGAAATGACAAAATTACATTTACTTATTCTTTACGGGAAAAGCGCTGCTCAAAGACTGCTTGCCGTAGGAAAGATGTTTGATAGAAGTATTTTTAAGGTAAGTGCGCTGATCCTAGCTTTCTGTATTGGTAGTTCAACTCGAATTCAGATCTCGGCGAATGAGATAGCTCCATGGGCCGTTTCCGTGATTTTTCAAGTGCATAACGTGGAAAACAGTGAATTTTTCTAGAAAATTTTCCACGAAGGGATCACTCTTTTTAGGCAGATAACTCCCAGTTTTGTAAACCAAACCAATCATTTATCTGATTACTCCAGATACTTGGTTTTAATATGATGTTACTGCGTGTTATTTACAAAATGTATATAATAACTCACCTTTCGATTTAGTAAACGTTTGATTTATTCCCCTGGCATCATAATTACAATTTTTTTTTTTTTTTTTTTTTTTTTTTTTTTTTTTTTTTTTTTTTTTTTTTTTGTTTTTTTTTTTTTTTTTTTTTTTTCCTTTTGGCAGCTTCAGCTACCAAGTTTTGTTCGAAAGACGGCACCTGGTGGACAAATCCGAAAACAAATCGGACCTGGACGAATTATTCCTTGTGTGAGCTGAGCAGTGACTCAAATGAGGAATCAGGTTTTATTGTGAGTTTCTTTTCCTTCCCACGTTTGGAGTAAGTAAAAGAGTAAAAAATTAAGAAAATGTTGAGCTGAATTGGTATTTTTATTTACTGTCTCATTTTTGTTGGAAAAAAAGGAGTGGAAGACCAGTTTAAGTATTTCGGATTCTGCCTAAAATCCTGAAGTGCGGCAAATAGTATCAGAAACTATACCATGTTTTAAAACACAAGATAATAATAAGAAAAATTAAGCTGTTGTTTCATAAAATTGTAAAAACAGTATTAGCCGAGAATATTTGAAGCAGATGACTGCTTATAATCAGTAAAAGTTTATTTTGAGTCACAAAATGTCACGGTCGTTTGAGTCACAAAACTTTCTTAAATTTCCTAAGAAATTCAGGATTCCCTTCTTCTAGTTTTCGATACATCAGGGTGTGTGTATAATATCACGAGAGAAATATCAAGTGGCCTACAAAAAATCAATTAAGAAGGGAATCTGAGAAATGAGGTTGCGTATATTTCACGAGTTGCCGCCCAGACGGTATAGCGGTTAGGGGAGCTGTTTGCGATACCGAAGGGCTCGGGTTCGAATCCCGGAGAAGGCATGGATGTAAATTGTCTGTCCTCTCGTAGGAGGTAATGGTGGCCGTCTATTAGATGCCTCGATAATAAAATGGCCATCATTTTGGCCTTAGGCCAATGGCGAAAAAAGGCAAGTGCCCTCCATTCGATTAAAAAAAAAATATTTGAGTTTATGCTAGGACATGCTTCGGAGTTAGCTTCGCAATATAACACTTCAAGGAAGATATTACAGTTCTGAATGTTTTAACTAAAAAATTAAAAGGTATAACAAACATTTAGCTTCTATTTTTATATGAAAATAATATTTACTGTTGTCAACTCTTAAAATTAAATATTTAATGTCGAATTCAATTAAAACTGAGTTTAGAAAGAATTTGAATTTTAAAAGCTGTTTTATTTATTTCTGTTGCATATCATTTTAGAAAATAAAATACTATACACACAAAAATATCAAAGTATTAGAAGCTCTGTTATTCATGACACAGCACTTGTTAGAAACTATTGTTTAGAAGTTCAGATAATTTTTAAGCGATTCGCTATCATACGCTGATGAGTAGTGCTTACACATAGTACCAAAGATAAATGAAGATCGCATGCTTCGTCCATTAGCAACAACATTTATTTATAACAGATAAGAGTTTTTGCAAAAGGGTAAAAAAATATGCTCTTCCCAGGTTTAAAAGATGTGCTGTGTTCAAATTTTTTTGAATAGTAATCATGCGCAATAATAACAGATAAACGTTTAGTAAAAGCAAGTTTTACATTTAGACAAGCTTTGCTATGGAATGGGGGGTGCGGGCCGAAAACATCACGGACGAAGAATCGCAAAGTTCACAACGCAAAAGCAAAACATCATCATACAAAACAGCTGGGAAGGAAATAAAAAAGCAAAGAGAAAGCATAGCACTTCTGATTTATTGTGACATAAAACATCGCGGCTGAAAAAAAAATCGGTTCAAAAACTTTGCACTTATAAAACATCATTGTATAAAATATCGCAGTAAAAAATAAAGCACCAAAACAAATCATCGTATGAAGCTAACATCGCAGTCATGGTTTTCGGACTATAAATATTTTCAGTTAATTTTCTTGTAATGCTTTGTGAGGACAAGAAGAGGTAAGTAATGCTTTCTTCTTCTGTATTCATTTCTTTTGTATAAACTAATAATTTCTTACTGGAAAAGCAAGAAGAAAATTTAAGCATTCGAAATCTGAAAATGTGTAAAAACTAATGCTACCTATAGCAGTTAAAAAGAGTTTCAAACTTACGTATTTAAATATTAAAAAGTCATTAACCTCATTTTTAAGTGTTATAATAGTAGCTTTTCATAAAAATTATGGTATAAAAAGATATTTCAATAAGAGAGATGTGTGTGCATGGGGTTACCTATATTAAAATTGTTTTATTAATTAACAAAGTGTCTGCTATGTTATCATCATGGCCATGATTTGCAAAATTGCTTTATTTTTTGCCACGATTTTTTAATGTTTTTAACTTCAAAGTTTTTGAACTGCTTTAGTTTCTAAGATGTTTTATAGCTCTTGTGTTTTAAAACTGCAGTTATTCCCTTGTTTTCTCCTTTCCAACGGTGTTTTCTCCAACGACTTTTATTCTACCGACGGTGTCTTCAGCTATGTTCTCGATGTTTTTTCCTGTAACTTAAATGGAAATTCAACAGGTTAACGGCACTCTTTCAGGTACACGTTCCAGTCATCAAGGCCATTTCCCAGGTTGGCTACTCCGTGTCCCTCATCCTGCTTGTGATTGCATGCCTCCTGCTTGCCAGTGTCAGGTGCGTAGAAATATTTTTGCAGTTTTATTTAAACACTGCTCTAGTACATATGAAAAGAAAGTAATACATGAGAACCTTCTTGAAGTCTTGCACAGGCCAGAATGCTGGAAACTCTATAAGGATAAAACTTATCAAGAAGGAAAGCTTATTAAAAGCCAAAGAATAATTAGAGAACAAATTAAGACCGCCAACAGTATTAAAATAGACAGCTCACAAGTTTCTGCCGTAATCTGTAATCAGCGTACGAGGTAAGTAGTCAGTGTTCTCGGATTTCGCTAGAACTAAATAGTGGCGGAAGGGTTTTCTTAACGTAATGATCATTAATCACCTCATTCTTGTCATTTTCTAGGTATACACTCGAATGCTCTGCACATATGTGCTTACTGTAGTGCACATTAATACATACATATTTATTTATTTTATCCATTAATTTTCTCGCTGGTATTATTACACGTAAAGAAATTTCTGATTGTGTCAATGTAGCAGATAGCATTTTTTTAAAAAAAGGTGGGTTTACTTCTTCGTTTTCTTTTCAATCCCCGCTACTTAAATGTTAATCTGCTAAAATGTTTTCAAATAGTTCTTCAACTGGTGCTTAAATCTGACATCATTACACTAGCATCATAATTTACGTATTCCTCGATGATAATGTCTAATATAAGTAGTCTCGTTTTCTTCATCCATACTCCCAGTGTAATCATGCTTTTTATCGTCAACACTTTCACTTGACTCTGGGTTCGAAAATTCTCCTTTAATGAAGCAATTTTTGAATGTTTGTGGATTTTTTTCTTTTTCTTTTTCTTTTTTTTTTCGGGGGGGGAGTCTAGGCAAATGGAATCATGTTCATAACCTCAAGACTATTTAAACTTTCCTGCGTATTTCCTATAGTTATATTTTGAAATGAATCAACCTTCGTTGTAGAAAACATTTTCAAATCCCTCGTGATACCCACACCTAAAGGGTGTACTACACTAGTCCAACTTGCCGTCAGGAAAACAACTTTCACATTTTGCAAGAAATCTGTAGTTTGAGTAAGGGTATACTCATACAAAATACTTTGAGTAAGGGTATACTGAGTAAGGGTATACATAAAAAGTAAAATTTTGTGATTTTGCCCCCTCATAGTTTTAATATATTTTCTTGAGCCCCATTCTGTAAAACCATCCACAGTTGTTCATGCTTTCTAATTTGCTTTGTATTATAATATCAGAATTTTAACATGTTTATTTAAAGAAGCTTAGTTTTTGTGACTTTCCTTTAACCAAAGGAGTTATTTTTACATTATATTAGCATATGCCCAAAGTGAAACAGTGAGACGGTCTTTACTTAGTTTAGCTCCGTGACAATAGTCACCATTGGAAGCTAGAGTTTTTCATAAGTTTAAAGAAAAGACCAGTTCATCAACATTAAAAATGTCTTTTAATTCAAATCGATTTATTTTGGTGGATAAATTCTTGAACCACTTTTCAACCGACTCAGCAGAACACTCTTTGGTTTTTAATTTTTTATGTGGCGTGAGATACCATGCCTCAGTTTAAATTTATGCCAGCCATCTAGTTTGAGAGGCAAGCTTCTTTCACATTCAGTCGAAGTGCTGTTTCTTTTGGCTTCTTGATTAACACCACTCACTGGAATATTGGATGCACAATGCTGAATGAATAACTTTAGTAAAATGACTTCAACCTCAAAAAATTTTTTATATTGAGCACGTGACTTCCTTGAAGTGGATTGTTGATAATTTTCTGCTCTTCAACTTCTTTTCTTTTATAAACAAGCGTTTTTAGTGTTTTCCCGGAAATATTCAGTTCCTTCGCCAACTCACCTTTCGTCAAACTAATATTCTCATCAAATTCTTTCAATATTTTAATTTCCTTTTTTAACGAGAGTACCTTTCGCGACATTTTGAATTAGTTAATTATGTTACACCTAGCTTATTTAATACAGCATTCTGTTTAGAAGAGAAAAACTATCTATTTCGAGTTCCAAGTATCTCTTCTATTCATGAACTGGTTTTTAATTCCTGTACCAGTCTGTCATGTCTCATGCCTTTGCTTTCTTCTCCTAGCCCCATTTTTGCGGAAAATACTTGAACGTTGGGACTATGATATGTAAAACCAATGCAATAAGTTAAGCAAAAGTGACGTATAAATGCGACATATAAAAGAAATATTTTACTATTAAAGTAAATAGAAGGTATTTTCCCCCTCCTTTCTGCATGACATCATAGTGCAAGCACACTCGGCACAAATTGTGTGTCTCTGAAATTTTCGATTAACAAAAAAAAAAAAAAAAAAAAAAAAAAAAAAAAAAAAAAAAAAATAGACGATTGTGCTAATTTGCCATTGCACATAGATTAGGCATTAGGCATATATTGCACGTATGGTAACTGGACAGGACTATTCAGGATGTGCTATAAATTGGCTACCACATTAGGTGCTTCGGCGAACATTTGGCGATAGACGCCCGGTAACAGAAAAGTACCACTGTTTTTTGCTTCATTTTAGAAATACCATTTAATTCTCCCACCAGCGGCTGAGCGGTAAAATCTCTAAACGCTGGTAGTTCGACCTGAAATCAAACTTCGCGAACCTGCTGGCTGCATGGTTGGTTTTCCTCAGTGTAATATGGATGTTTAATGTTTCTCTTAAAAAGTCCTCTGCGAAGGCAGCCCTCTCTATAGGCAGATAAACCTCGAACTGCTTCGACTTAATCGATTAGCCTAACCCATTTAGTTCATTCTTTTATAAGTCTGATATCTAACTAAGTTAGGGTTACCCCGAAGCTGGTTACTTCGCGTGATGATGATTTTCAGATGTAGCTAAATCTTAAAATATGCGATAATGTAACATTACTTCTTGCTTTGGAGGTCAGTTCTGGATGTGAGCCGATGGTCAAAGTTAGACGTTAATTACTTTCCTTCTAATGATTTTAACAATTTATGTCCTCAGAAGATGAAAGGAGTACTGTTTATTTAAATGTAAAACTGTCAAACTCTGCATTTCATCATTAGTATTAATTATCATTAGTACATAATTAAAAATCTCTAAGTTTTCCCTGGGCCCCAAATGGAACGTAAAATAAATAAATCAGTAATAAACATGCGTTTGTAAGTAGTTTCTTAAAGACGTAAAAGTCACATGAAACAAATATAATGAACACTTTTTTTTTTAACTTGTGCTTTCTTGTGACGGAAGGAAACTTTATTTATCCTTTAATGATGCAACTGTTAAGAGCTACATTTTTATCATTAGTGCCATCATTAGTTATCATTAATATATGATTAAGAATAGTTATAAAGAGTTTTTTGGCGCTGCAAAATCAATACATGGAAGTAAAAAATAACTAAAATATGTAGTTCTGATCATTTTCATGAAGATCTATAATGACAGGCATTTTGAAATTATGACAAGTAAACAATATGATTTTACAAGATATTTATATTTATATATTTTATGCATTTATTTATTGTGACTCCAGATATTTTTATAGAAATTTTTAATTATATACCAATTATAAATAATGAGGTGCTATTTATAAAAGAGTTTTCTATATTTCATTTATTATATATATTATTACAGTCACCATCAAATGTATTTATTATTCATCTTCTTGTTTGATTAATATTATGACTACGGAAGACTACTAATATTAGAACCCGGGTATGAAGTTCTCCTCTGAAAGACGTTTAATTTTTTAAGTTCCAAATAAAAATTTAAATGGTAGACAAGACTTTTCCCCGGATGAAATATTCTTGCTTATTAAATTTTCATGCCTTTAAGGAAGTTATTTATTTTCTGATTATTAATCTCTCCTCACCCGAAAAGTCGCCAAATCGTTGGCCATTAATTTTTTTGCCAAGCTAATGCATGAAGGGCAAGAAGTCATTTTGAAGATGGTGGCTTAAGAATTCCATAAAAGAACAATGAATCAATAATAATCTTATTGTTTCAAATTTCAGCCAATTTATTAAAAATTCGTAGTAAAACACCTGTCTTTCTGAAGAAATTTCTTAGGTGATTTTCTCTGCACTGTTGCTCTCCCCATGTTTAGAACAACCAGTTTTTGTTTAAAAAATGACAGAACTTCACAAATTTGGCGTTGTGCGCACTGTCTGCATATTCACCGCGATCTATTTTCACATAAAAATCAGAGTTGTCAATAATCGGTAAAATTTATCATTAAAATTCGTCAATCTATATTATTGAAATCTGTGGTCGTCTGTCTATTTGTTTGTGGCGTTATCTCCTCTTGAAAGCCGGGGGGGGTTGAATTTCGAGAGGGGCACCAACAAATTCTAAAAATTCGTGGGAAGCCATTTCGATTTTTCTTACGACATTCTTACGACATTATCTTACGACATTACAATTTTCTTACGACATTAATTAGCGGAGCTATTACTTAAAAATTCTGAAAACGCTAATTTTCTCCCTCTTTTTTCCGAGTGGCAAGAAAGAGTCTTGCGTGCTGGAGATAAAAATCTGCTTTATTTCGGGAAGTGTTTCCACTGCTCTCTTTCAAATCGTAGAGGTTGTTAATAAAAAATTTTAAGTTTTACAAAATAGGAAATAAAAATAGCATTGCCAAACATTAAATATATTATTCCAGATTCAAAAAATTCGTGGGAAGCCATTTCGACTGTTCTCATCTTCGCACGACTTTAATTAGATGCGATATTAATTAAAAACTATAAAACCCTAATTTTCGCACTCATTATTATAACATTGCCAAACATTAAACCTATTATTGTCATAATTTGACGTTGAAGAAAACACGCGATTGCATGCGACGTCACTGTATGTCGAAAATTGTTCGCCATTTTAAATAAATAGCTGCTGTTTGCAACATTTTTGCTTCAGGTTAGTATAATTGACACGATATATTATTGCCAATTTAACTCTTTTATTAATATTGAGAAAATGTTTTTATATTACTTTAAATTTAAATCATAAGTCATACGTATTAACCTGAAGTGCGAAAGGTTTTGTTTCCTGATTCGGCAGTAAAAAAAATATTTATTAAATTGGTTGTTACTCGGAAAGAAGTAACTAATATCTTTCATACTGAAATGTTCTAATACATGTGCTTTTCAGGTATATATAGAACTTACAAATTTTGCTTTGGTTGCAGCCCGATCGTCTGGCGGGCTTGCTCGCTAGTTTATCAATAAAATTCGATCGTTAACGGAATGTAACTTCGGTGGAATGCGAATTTTTGCCTTCTCATTTGTCGTACAAAACGCCATATTTTCGAAGAAATGCAGCGATTTTTTTCATTAGGTGGGGAAACTTCGTAATCCTATGACTATTCTTTACCAGAGAGAGGGATAGTTTGAAAACACCAAAATTTAATTCCGCACCATCAAAGATACTCTTTTTTTTATTTTACTATATTTAGGCTTTTAAAGCTATGTATTAAAACTTTAAAAATGTGAAAGCTTTAAAGCATTTTTACTTCTTAGAAAAAGAAATATCTTTTAAGTTTCGATGATTCATAGCTCTCTTAATGTCTGAGTAGTCGAGATATCGCTATATGCTGCAATACGAAAAAGTGTGTGACACTTAGTGTGGCCGGAAAACAAGTTTTGAAAGATTTCACTTCACGTTTCGGTTGATACAGTAGGTATAGCTTATTCAGTTATATGCTGGCTATATCAGTTTATTTAGCTGATAAAACTAGTCAATACATATGTTAATGTGTACTGCAGTTTACATACATCCCCTGACTACTGAAATTTTACAGCCCAAAACATGGCTTGAATTGTGTAAATTTATACACATAAGTTAAGGAAATTTCTTCTGGTTAGTTCTGCAAAAACTGAAGAAAACTCTTCATTCCTAATTTGATTGTCTCCTTTGATGCTCTTGGTGGTTTTTTAGTTGTTCACCGACAATTCATTGCTTTTAATAAGCTTGGCTTCTTAATACTGCTTAAGAAGTTCCTAGTCTTTTGGCTTGCATATCAAATTTCTACCATAGTTACTGTTTCAATAACGGCAATATTTCCTGCGTTTACAGTTGAAGGTTAACAGGTTAGTGAGAAGATAGAATTCGAAGTTTAGACCTAGATTTTTAAATTTAACGAAGACTTCTTCAAGTCAAAACGTATCTTTCAGGTGATTTTGCATGGAAATTGTTTCTTAAGAAATATGAACGTTTTTCGATATTGCGCTGCTGTTCGAGTTGCTCAGGTGGCTTTGAGTTCGAATTAGCTTGCCAGAGGGCTATTGTAAGAAAATATTTTCCGATATTAAATTTTGTTCTTTTGTTTCAGACGGCTCCGCTGCCCTCGGAACAACTTGCACCTGCAGCTGTTCGCTTCGTTCATTCTCAGAGCCTCAGTTTCTCTTTTGAGGGACATCGCCTACAAGAACAAACTGGAACAGGTAAGGTGAAATTCATTTTTTTTCCGGGGAGTGATATGAAAGAATATAACTGTTTTTTTTCCAAAAGAAAAGATGTGTGATAGCCATCCTTATCGAAAAAAAGAAGAGATATCACTACGAGTAAAGACCCGTGGCGGTGAAACAATACAGATGGTTTGTTCTCAAAAGCTAAATTGAAAATTTTATTTTCTCCTCATACGTAAATGTTATGTTATTTGTTTCTTTTCTTCTTAAGTCCCATTCAAAGTTGTGAAAATTATATGTTTCCTAAAAATTAAACTATAAAATTGTCTCCACATTAAGTATTTAAATTAGAGACGCATATGCCTTAAATGCATTTAAACTAGTCTGAACTATTTAAAATAACAATTAATAAATAAAATTCAACTGAAACATTAATTGTTGCAGTACATAGATTACTCAAAACTTAAAGAACATTATCCATTACCATTCGGCGTGATTGAAACTGAACAATATACTAAATATTCTAATCATCATTAACTTTTAACTGATGCTCTGTCTCTGGTTTAAACCTAATGTTTAACAAATTAATTAAATCATTCACCAATACTGTAACAGCAATCAGAAGAAAAGCTAAGTTCTTGTTGATTGTTAGACAAACAAGTACTAAGTGTTGCTAATACAATTCAATTAAATAACAGCCACAATTTAAACTGTACTTACATTCTGGCAAAGATTAGCAATATAATAGACATAACAGGCTAGAATTAAAATAAAATAACTGATTATTTAAGTAAATTTTGGTGCCATTTGAGATTTCATGATACTTACGTATTATCGCAACCACCTTAGCAGAAACTGCCAAAATTTCAGAATGCATCATATTCTGGCAACCCTAAGCACAACAGTTCTTCAGACAATCGTGCCTATGACAGTGTTTTAGTTTTAATAACCAACGGCGCCATTTTGGTACAGATTTCAACAGCTTTTAAAAACAAATCGTGATTATGTTTTGTTTTAGAAAATGTTTTGAAATATGGGCTTGCAGGATTTGCCTGTATTAGAAGAAAGTCTTGTAAAATATGTGAGGGTGTTTTAGCAAACCTTTGATGATTTTTCCACAAAATCGCTAAAGGAAGAATGTCGAAATTTCTACCAAAACAAAAGAAACGAAAGCCCGTTTGAAAAACGTTCACTTATTTTTTTTAGAATAAATATATATCTGAAACGTAAAACATGTATGTAATAAACAGCTTTTGCCAACAAACAGTCTCTGTTTTTTCCTTCCGCAAAATTCGTCTAACTGCACGAAAGCGGCTGTGCTAATACGTAAGTACCGATTTCATGCCTATCTTTTCTAACTGGGTTCTGTTACAATAATTCATTAAGTCGAGAAATTTTACACAAATGCGAAAGGGAGTTTAAATACCGCTGCTTCTTAACTGCACCTGATACTTAGTGAGATTAACTTTTGCTTTAGGAAGTGCTCGTTTCTTTGAGCTATTTTCCCTGCATTACTTGTTCACCATTAACTGAGAGCTTTTAGTAATGAAAAGTGAATCTTTAGATTGGGATTTAGAATCCTCCTAGAGGCCCAGTTTATCTGGTAATAAAGATGTAATTTGCTCATTGCTTTAAGCCAACTGTTGTATTTGTAAGTAAACTAGCGATTCTTTAAGTTTATTACTAGCGATTCTTAAGACTTTTTGTTTATTATATGATTTTTCACTTATAACTCAGGTTCAAATAAACTTTTAATTACTGTTAGTTTAATTGTAAGTCATTTATTACTGTTCATTTAATTTTAAGTTCTGTATTAAAATTCGTTTTAACGTTTTAGTCTAAATTGGACTGTTAGATTAAAGTATAAGCTAAGAAATAGAATTTCGTTTCAGAGCCACTATATACATTATGAAACGTTCTTAAAATTTTCGCTGCACTTTGGGCTCAATTAAAACGGTCTCGGGACCTCTAGACAGCATCATTTCTATGATTTCTAGTGCCCATCTTCACTGTTTTTATGACAGTAAAATAATTCTTTGAAAATTATAGTACGTAGATTAAATTCTATTTTACATCAAGTAAATAATCCTTACAGTATTCCCATAGTACATCGCGTTTAACCTTTTAAACGAATACTGAGGTTAGGAGTATTGTTATAAAACTCGGTTAAGGGCATTAAAAGGATACTGTGAAAGATATCATGTAAATAATGTGGTTAAAGTAAAATACGTATATTATGTAACAGTGGTTCCTGAAGCATTCTCAAATACGCTATCGAAATAGTGCTTCCTTACTTTCAATTAACTTTAATCAGTTATATATCACTTTAATAGATAATAGATGGCACGGATATTAATTTTTGTAAGTTGTCTACATATATTTTGACTTAACTTCTCCTGGACAACCTGAACTCACCAGGGAAAGCAGTGTTATTCACATTAGAGGTACTAGAAGCTTCTCCTTTCCATTTGAAAAATTTAAACTCTTAGATGATGGAGGTTTGTAGTGATATTCTTGAATAACTGTTTGAAATTGGTAGTGCAAATTAGTTCAGATTTAAATGAAAAGAAATTCTTATAAATAAGATAAGCAACAATAACAAACAAAAATAAAAACCCTCAAAGATTGCATTTTCTTTGATGTACGAGGAATATTCTGTCACAGCTAAATCTATAGCATTAACTACTGCAGGGTTTCTTAAACTGTGGGACCTGCAGCAGAGGGTTGCCAAAAGTTTTAGCTGTTTTGATATTTCTTATTATAATAATTTTATAATTACCAAATATTTTTACACAACCTATCCGAAACTAGATAAAGATAAGACAATACATGCAAAGAAAAACTCGAGAACGTTTCGACGCATTCTTTTTATAATACTATAAAGGTTCATTTTCCTTAGTTTGCAAGTGACGCTGTCATTTCGTCTGTTACTTATATAAAATTTTCACATTGTTTTTATGTCTTAAAATAAGAAATTTAAGTTAATGACCTGAAACTGCAATAGTATATTACAAGACAAGTGAAAAAAAATTGACAGTTTCACTCACGCATGTGTCGGATTTGCGCAATGCTTATGGGTCCCACAAAATTTTTGTAAGTATTATGGGGTCCTGGGGGTCGCGAAAAAATCTCAGTGATAAAAAGGGGTTGCGACTTAAAAACGTTTAAGAAACCGTGAACTACTGAATAGCTTAATAGTCTAACACGGTGTGTGGTTTTAAGTCCCACGTTACTCACGGTTGCTCAGAACCTCCTATTTATACCATTATTCAAGAACTATGAAAGATGATACTGAAATATAGAAAAATCACTCCTAGGGCTTCAAAATGTGCTTTGTGAAAAATTTCAAAATGCCATCAAGGCTTGTTAAGGAATTTTTTAACTATTTCTGAGATTCTCTTTGAGCTAATTTCCCAATTCCAAAGTTAATTGACCTAGAATTAAATATTGTACAAATATATGATTAAACATACACAAACACAAACAGTCTTAAATTAAAGCTTAAACAAATCCTGTAGTATAACATATTATCATCCCGCAGAATTCAATGCTCTGACGGTCTAACTAAACAAATGAGCAGAACGCAACGGTAGATACATACAAATTCACATAGCTCATATATGAAGTAATTTATTAAAGGGAGTGCTTGTAATAGCAAATATAATCAGTTGCATTTTTTTCTATGGAAATATTAAATATCCACATTCTGTGAATATGTACGAAAATATGTAGAATAGATTGCTTCTATCCCACTAAACGTAATCGTATGGTCTATAAATTTGGAATACTTTTTGAAAAATCGTATTAAATTAACAAAGGGATGTATAATTTATTTTTACCCATAGATATCGCTAATATTGCAAAAATAGGGGGAAATTCACTCATTCACTAGAAGACGAGAAGCTAATTGCTGATGATCAGTTGCTGCATTATTAGTAATACTGTATTATATTTAGAAATAAAACAAATAAATGCTGCATAGTCTTATTTCCCCATAATATTTTTCATTTTGTAATTAAAGGCCTCATTTTTCGGTAGGATTTCGGTCGGAATTTGAGCTAAAATTAATTTTCAGTCCTAAACAAATCCGCGTTTGTCTGCAAACTGCACTCTAATACACTAACTTTTTGATTTTATATGATTTTTTTTAAATGGGCCCAAATTTGTGGTAGATCTTGTGTATCAGTTTATGAAGTTTGTCGATATTATGAATAGATCTTCTTTTATTGTAAAAAAGGAAAACTATTAAATAGTCTTTCTTGAAAAATTATTTTTAATAAATCATCTCACAATAGAGGCAAATTTGAATTCTCAGCTATTGATATTTTGTACTTGCAGTCAATATTTAGTCGAAATTAAGAGATTACAATTTTAGAAAATTATACAACATCAGTTACCTGAAGCGAAATTTTCGAAATTTTAATTTGAACATTTTTAATTGAATTGCGAAGTCTTAAATCACAACATTCATGAATAATTACTAACATTACATATCTTTCATTATAAAAAGTAAATAATTTTGCCCCAAGAAAAATTCGAAACTAAGATTTTAAGATACAAACTCATTTTAGTTCATAGTTTAAGAGCTGTGTTTAATTTGACGTCAAAGCTTTCTTTTATAAAAGATGATAAACAGACTTGAATCATAGAAAATTTCATTATTTTCTTCCAGGAAAGCGTGGTCTGCAAGTCCCTGACAAGTATTTGGCAATACTGCCTAGCAGCCAACTACTGCTGGATTCTGATGGAAGGACTGTATCTTCACAACCTGGTGTTCCTCTCAATGTTCACAGACACTGCCAGCATTCTGAGCTATGCCCTCTTGGGATGGGGTAGGTGTGCTATTTTTTCTATGAATTGGACATTCAAATCTTCTTTTATCTGAAATCCTCTATAATCCTGAGAAAGATTCGAGATTCTAAAACGCGAACCTTTACTTTTTTTGGTCAGCATTCGAATCTTTTAATCTGAAAACACTTAAACGTTTTAATTAAAAACTTTGCAGTAGTTAGTTTTATTGATGTCCAATAAATTATCGATTAAAAAAATGACTTTCAGTTTCAGGATTATTTGGATTACCAAAACCCCTTAGGGGCGATTTTAAGTGCCATACGGCTTGAATGTCTCATCTAGAGAAATTTTCCAGAACTCTGCATCAATAGTTGCAATGCGTTTTCTCGAAACTAATTGCATAAGCATCTACATAATTCTGGCTATAAGTAACCTATTACTAATAGGTGATTGGTATTTCTGATAACACATGTCATAATACATAAACTCCGCTTCAAGCACATAACTCTAATTACGTACTAGATAAAGTCCTCAGCCACAGCAGTTTAAATTTTGAACCGCTAACTGAAATTTAAGCTGTTTTTTTAATATCTTCGTTACCAAATTATATTGAGAAATTTAATTTCAAGATACGATAACTTCAATTATGTATTTCATTCGCAGAATTTCACTTGTATTTTCTGCATAAATATAGAATTTTTTAATCTGTATTTTAAAATTTGTTTATCATTAAACGCAGATTTCATATTTTACTTTATTTAAGAGGTTTTTAATAATTTAATTAGAAATTCAAACAACAGTAATGATCGACAATTTCTGAAATTTGCGGTTTAGTTTCGAAGATTTTTATGACAAAGCACACGAGGGCAATCTGCCTAAGGAAAGGATGTCTTCGTGGAGGACTTAAGGGAAACTAACTTGTATCCACACTACACATTAAGGAAACCATGAAAACAGCCATGCAGCCAGTACGTTCACCTGTAATCAAGACAAGGTTGAAGTACCAGAGTTCAGCGACTTCACTGCTCTGCTGTCCGTCGGCTAGATTGTTCTGATTACGATATAATTTTTAAGAGCGATGGTCAAGCTGGTATGACGTAGATAAGTATCTGTCTTAGCAAAGACATATGTAAAATTCTTAATGTGTCTTAAAAAGCAAAGAACAAATATCGCTTGACAAAATATCTCTTTAATAGTGGTTTTTAAAAGTTATCTCTTTTCACTATTTGTGTTTTCTAAGGATTAATTTCCTTTAAAAAAAGTCTTTTACCTTCCCAAATGCGATAATGGTTTAAGGCAGAGGTTCTCAGTTTTTTTTTTAAATTTTGTACCAATGAATTAAAAATAAAAAGTACACTTACCGTCATGTACCAATATATGTAAAGAACGAGGCGATATTTTGCATTCATTTCAAAAGGTCATATAAATTTTTTAAATAAACATTATGCCACTAAAAATAATGTAATAAACCATTAGTAGTACATACATTATAATTTATGAAACTCTGATTTAGAGAATAGTTTTCCAAACGTGGGCATTATTGGCCATCCGTGCCCGCCAGCGACCGAGCGGTAAAGTCGCTGAACACTGGTAGTTTGGTCCGAGGTTCGAATCCCGCGAATGGGCTGGCTGCGTGGGCGTTTTAGTGGTTTTTCCCATGTGTAACGAGTATCCGAGTCAGTTTCCCTTAGAAAGTCCTCCACGAAGGCATCCCTCTCCTTAGGCAGATAGCCTAGTGTGCTTTGCCATAATTAAATAAACCAAACCAAACTATTGGCCATTGGTGTCTACGAAGGAGCATTCTAGTTCATGGAGGTAGAAATTCTTACCTCCATATTCTAGTTCGAGGTCCAGTAAGGGGTGCTGAGAATCAAGTAGACAAAAAGAACACGCCTGTAAAATTTGATTATTTAAACACTTTTGAAACAAACATTTAAACATTTATTTGATTGTATAAATATTTCAATCATACATCTTTGCCAGAATTATACTAAATTGCGTCAAAATAAACATAAAAAAAATCACTTTCACATATGTTAGTCTGAGTTGCATGCAGTTTCATTTTCCTATTCTAAGACATCGAGCAAGAAAAGCCAAAAAAGCTAGCAAGCAAAAGAATTCTGCAAAATGAGATACTTGGAATTGTTATAGGTTAAGCCCTAAAAATTAAGCGCTATTGCTAGCACCTTCAAATAACCCAAGATATGGGAAGTTTCACGTACGCAAACTCAATGATATATTCCATTGAAGAGACATAGAAGCGATAGTGAGGCTCCTTAGTGATCAAACTTGAAATAAATGAGGAAAATGAACATGAGTAAGAGTAATAAGGGTACAAATGCAAATAGAATGAATAACACCAGGTGCGAAATGCGAAATGGGAGAAGCGGTAACTATATTTATACTGTAAGCAATGAACGGAGCAAAGAGAATACGAACGTAGCATCACCTGGAGAGGAAACTAGTAAATCAAACATCAAACGTAAAAAATTTAGATATTAGAATTCTAAAAGCGTAAAGATAGACTGGATAGGAATTAATTTCATTAACTAAAAAAGATATATTATTAATGAGAAAAACTTCAAGGAAATCCAGTTCATCAACTGAAAAAGCTTTATGAACAATTTTTTCGGAACCAAAGTCAAAATTGTGATTAGGTGCCCAATTATGACTGGCTGTCGAAGATTTGCTTATTTCTCCCTTTCGGACATAAGATTAGTGTTCCTTGACGCGAAATGTTTCTTTTCATTTAGATTTATGCATGTTTTAGTCAGAGCTATGACTTCAGAACTTTGAAGAGGATTACATTCAAAGAACATCTAATAAACCGTTGTTGTAAGTGTTAGGAGCACTGAAGAAAATAAACACAGCAAAAAGGGTTATGACCAAAAAAAAAAAAAAAAGTTTGGGAAACTATGGTTTAGCACAAATGATCGAGTTTTCGACCTATCCAGGGATAGGCGATGTTTGATATATTTTAAACAGCAACAAAAGTGTTTAATAAATGCTCGTGCTAGGATAAGTTTAGGGGAACAAAAAGAGAATGTCATTTTCTAATAGGAAAGCATATAAAACAAGTAAAGAATTAAAAAAGATATATTTAAATTAGTAATTTTTTAATTTTCTAAATCTCCTTGTATTTACAGGTTCATAATACTTCCAAAATGGAGATCAAAATTTTCGAAATAGGACACTCTGAGGCAAATCCAAATTTTCAAAATAAAAAGAAAAGTTTTTAAAAATGAAGTGTTAAAAATGTCCATAAGATTTTTAAAAAAAGAAAATGACGACGTGATGATTTAAAAAAATAACGAGATAAAATTTCTAAACAAATATTTAATAAAAGGATGAAGTTAAAAATATAAATATTTTTTTTGTAAAAAATTCAGATACGTAAAATAATAAAAATATTTTGCTGAATTCAAAATATTTTTATTATTTTAAGAAAATTCAGAACTTTGAAGAGGATTTTTAAAAGATTTTTTTTCGTCAGTCCACTAATTAAAACTTTTTGGATACCCTAACCATTGAACAAACATTTTGTTTCCCTTTCCTTTAATTATTTCTCAGTTTTCTCAATTTTATCTTTTTTATCGTGTTTAACTAATTCTTTTTCATAAAATGTGCCTTCAATTTCCTCATCGGTTAAATCTTTTAATCTATAAATAAGGGATCAAGGTTTAAAACCTCAAATAATAAAAAACTCTTCTGTAAACCATTTATCGTATCCTCTTGTAAAAACTGGTCTTAATTTTAAAATTCCTAACTGTATTATAAATTTAATAGTTTTTAAATTTAACTATTTTTATTTCTATAGCCTTGTATAAATTCCTATACTAAACGCATATTCTTCTTCCCCTAAAATTTCTGATGAGTGGTTTATATTTTGTATAAACATCTTGTTGATGTAAAAAGGCTTCAATTTCTTCTTAAGACATTTTTATTTTGCTCTGTAGTTCTTTAGCATCAGAATTATTGAGGATTATAATTTACATCTCTCAAGACATTTTTCTCTTATTTGTAATAAGTCGTTTGAGCTAACGAAGTACTGTTTTCAGAGACGGAAACATCGCAAATGCCTTTCAAATATGGGTTTGTTGTTTTTAGAAACGGTTTCATGCCAGTTTTTGGTTTTTCTTTACCTTTCAAACAATATTCTATTCCAAATGATAACATATATCATGTTTGTATGCTGTTTCATCTAGGCTATTTATTATTTATGTTTGTATGCATGTTTGTATGCTGTTTCATCTACGCTATTTATTATCTATCATTTATTTATTTATGTTTAGGCCATTTTTTATAAAACAGGTTTAAATTTTCTTAGCCCCATAAAAGCTGTGTCACAGGCCCTTTTAACGAGAGTCATTTCAAAGGGTGAATTGTTAATGAGTTTATAATTGACATTTTTTCCTTTCTTCATTTATGTAGTAAAAAAAATCTTAAAGCCATTGATTTTTAGATGCTTTACAATTTGAAACAAACTGCATATATCTTTAAATAAATTTTCGCTCTTTAACCAAAACTTCTTCTTCTGTTATGGTTTTATTTTTCAGAGAATTTAACAGAAATTTATAAGCATGCTTATATTTCATTTTTAATTCTTAAATTTTCAACAATTTATTTATAATTTCCACTATTCGTGCTACAATACTCAATGAACTTGCACTAAACAAAATTTTAAAGATTCAGAACAATAAATCGATATCATTATAATCTTTGTAACTCTTCCGATAATCATAAAGCCAATTTTCTAATTTCTTTCCCATTTATACAGGATTTAAATTTTTTTCTATATCTTAAGATTTTAAAAATCAAACATGATGAAGTCATGGGGCACTTTAATACATATATTATACATTTCACTAAATTTTTCTCTTCTTAAGTTCCCATTAATTTCCCTCGTGATCCGTTGCATTTATTTCGGTTGTAAATTAGAAAATATGAAATAAATACAATTGCCTCTCATCTCTTTAGGCACGCTGCAACACACTTGAACTAAAATTTCACTTGAACTAAATAAATGGTCGAAGAATGTTCA